TCACCCCAAAATTCCCAAATCCCACCCAAAATCCACCCTGACCCCCAAATCCCACCCAAAATCCCCAAATTTCACCCCAAAACCCCTCCAACCCACCCTAAACATTCCAATTTTTCATTCTGCCCCAAATCCTTCACGTCCCACCCCAAAATCTTTTTTATTTTTCTTTCCCAAAATTCCCCTTTTACCCCAAATCCTTCCCCTCGCCGCCGTTTTGGGCCCAAATCGCCTTTTTTTGGGATTTTCCTCCCGCCGAGCGCTCCTGGCAGGGTGAAAAACGGGGAAAAACTCCTTAAAAGTGCTGAAATTTGGGATTTTTTCTTTATTTCCCCCGGTTTTGGGTCTCCGTGGCCTTTCGGGAATAAAACTTTGGAATTTTGAGCCCAATTTGGGGCTGTTTGTTGGTTTTGAGTGAATTTTGGGGAAATTGGGGGGAGGAGGGCTGCGCCTCCTTCCAGGCTCTTCAAAATTCCATTTTTTTGGTAATCTAAAAATTGTCAGCATGGAATTGTGGAATTTTGGGAATAAAAGATGGCAAATCCAGCTGGATTTTGGGTTGGTTTAGGGCATTTTTGGGTTTTTTCAGGGGATTTTGGGTTATTTCAGGGGAGGTATTATATATAATATTATTATATAACATATAATTTATAATATATTGTAATATTACAATATTATAAATATATAAAATAATATATAGAATACATTATATAATATATATTATATAATATATATTATGTGTTATATGTTATTATATAATATTATACATTGTATCGTACATAATATTATTATACAATCGTATATATTATTTCAGGGGGATTTTGGGTCATTTCAGGGGATTTTGGGTTGGTTTAGGACATTTTTGGGTTATTTCATGGGATTTTGAGTTGGTTTAGGACATTTTTGGGTTATTTCAGGGGATTTTGGATCATTTCAGGACATTTTTGGGTTATTTCAGGGGATTTTGGGTTATTTCAGGACATTTTTGGGTTATTTCAGGGGATTTTGGATCATTTCAGGACATTTTTGGGTTATTTCAGGGGGATTTTGGGTCATTTCAGGACATTTTTGGGTTATTTCAGGGGGATTTTGGGTCATTTCAGGACATTTTTGGGTTGTTTCAGGGGGATTTTGGGTCATTTCAGGACATTTTTGGGTTATTTCAGGGGGATTTTGGATCATTTCAGGACATATTTATGATCAACGCCCTCAGAGCTCTTCAAACCTTAATTCTTTTACTTAACCCTAAAGCACCCGCGCATGAAATCGTGGCCGCGCTCCTTTTGGGAATAAAGGGCTGAAACCCGAGCCGGGTTTGGTGGCTTTTGTGCGGGTTTTTTGGTGGCTTTTGTGCGGGTTTTTTTGGGTTTTTTGGGGTTTTTTTGGGGTTTCTCGTTCGTTTTCACCGCGGGGAGTAACGAGGGCAGCGCCCCCAAACGCCGTCCCCCGCCACAGACCGCCAGAGCCAGCAGCCCGCGCTTGGGAATTCCGGGAATTCCGGGATTTGGTGAATTTCGGCGATTTTTAGGCGAAATCCCCTCGAGGCGCCCAAGATGGCGGCGGCCAAGATGGCGGCGCGGCCTCACCTCAGCCGGCCCCGCCCCCCCGTTCCCGCCCGCCGCGCGCGGGGCACGACGGGAACCGCCCTCAGCCGGGACCCGCCATTTTCTGCCGGGAAAGGCGGGAAGGGGAGAGCGAACCTGCGCCGCGGGACCCGCACGGCTCCAGCGCCGCCGCCAGCGCCGCTCGCAGGTACCGGCGGCGCCGCGTCGGTCCCGCGGGGCTGGTGAAGGGGGGGAGGACCGGGGAGGCTCCGGTGCGCGGGGTGAGGGGGGTGGGGGTGTATGGGGGGGGGGGCCGGGGTCGCCTGAGGAGACGCCGCTCCTCAGTCCCGCCTTCCGTGCGGTGCCGCGCGCTGATTGGTCAGGAGGCCGGGGTGTGATTGGCTGAGAGGCGCGTCACTCAAAGGGGCGGAGCGCGAGCGCCGCCGCGCCGGCGAATCAGCGAGGGCCTCGCGGAGGCTTCTGGGTGCGGTAGTTCGCCGGCAGCGCGGGCGCCGCGCTCAGCCAATCAGGCTCCGGCGCGGCGGGCGGTCATGTGACGCGGCGCGCGGGGCGCTGCTGGGAGTTGTAGTCGCGTGGGCCGCGCGCGGCCCTCTCTCGGGTGTTTATTTTTGGGTTTTTTGCCCCGTTTTTCCCGTTTTCCGGCCCGTTTTTCTCTCCCCGCCCTTGCCAGGCTGTGACGGCCCGGGATGGCCCGCACCAAGCAGACGGCTCGGAAATCCACCGGCGGCAAAGCGCCGCGCAAGCAGCTGGCCACCAAGGCGGCCCGGAAGAGCGCGCCGTCCACGGGCGGCGTCAAGAAACCGCACCGCTACCGGTAACTGGGCAAACTGGGCAAACTGGGAGGGTAACTGGGCAAACTGGGAGGGACTGGGAGGGTAACTGGGCAAACTGGGAGGGACTGGGGGGGTAACTGGGGATATTGGGAGGGACTGGGGATACTGGGAGGGTAACTGGGGATACTGAGAGGGTAACTGGGGATACTGGGAGGGACTGGGAGGGTACTGGACAAACTGGGAGGGTACTGGGGACACTGGGAGGGATGGGGGGGTAACTGGGGATACTGGGAGGGATTGGGGGGTTAACTGGGGATACTGGGAGGGACTGGGGATACTGGGAGGGTAACTGGGAGGGTAACTGGGCAAACTGGGAGCGACTGGGAGGGTACTGGGGATACTGGGAGGGTAACTGGGCAAACTGGGAGGGAAACTGGGGACACTGAGATGGTAACTGGGGATACTGGGAGGGCATTGGGGGGGCACTGGGAGGGACTGGGGACACTGGGAGGGACTGGGGGGGACTGGGACAGGTGAGGGCCCAGGTGGGTGCCATGGACAGGTGAGGGCCCAGGTGGGTTCCAGGTGCCCAGGGGGGTTCCAGGTGCCCAGGTGGGCACCGGGGACAGGAGCAGCCCCAGGTGGGCACCGGGGACAGGAGCAGCCCCAGGTGGGCACCGGGCGCCCCCAGGTGTGCCCGGCTCACCTGTGCCCCCCCAGCCCCGGCACGGTGGCGCTGCGGGAGATCCGGCGCTACCAGAAATCCACGGAGCTGCTGATCCGGAAGCTTCCGTTCCAGCGGCTGGTGCGGGAGATCGCGCAGGACTTCAAAACCGACCTGCGCTTCCAGAGCGCCGCCATCGGCGCGCTGCAGGTGAGGGGCACACCTGGGCACACCTGGGTACAGCTGGGAACACACCTGGGCACACCTGGGCACACCTGGGTACAGCTGGGAACACACCTGGGTACAGCTGGGTACAGCTGGGCACACCTGGGCAGGTGAGAGACACACCTGGGCACACCTGGGTACACCTGGGTACC